AAATGTCATCTGGACTTTAATATGTTTGTAAATGTAACTACATGTAATAAACTGACTATAGCTCCACAAGAATATTATTTTGCCTTATTCATTATATAATTTACATTCATCGTTTACTTCTGATAAGTTTTGTTGAAATTTCATTTTTAACTTGTGGCAGTTTAGACAATTCATTCACCAATGGCCAGATAGCTCAGTAATGCACCTGTCTAGAGTTATGTGACCCAGGTTCAAATCAGGTCTGGTTTGTTGCATTTCCTCCTTTCCTGTTACATTAGGTGTCATTGTCCACTCTTAGACTTGTAGGTTAAAGTCTTGTCAGGGGCAAAAATAATCTGAGTTGTGTGTCTTTGTGGATAAAGAGATTTAAGGAGTGAGAAATGTGGCTGCCAGGCAGGTTTTATTGCTGTTGGTCAGATGGCTCAGTTGGTAGAGCACCTGACTAGCATTCAGGGGGCCCATGTTCAAACCATGGTTTGCCCAAACCATTTTCTCCCTTGCCGTTACAACGGTGGTTCATTTGGTGTCCTTGACCTGTTACATTTGTAGTGCATTTGGTGCCCTTGACCACCCCTGGACTTTCAGGTGAAAGTTCTGCCAAGGGCAAAAGACATTTAAGGAACCTCAGAGAGGAATGTAGCGACCAGACAGCTTTTATCACTTGGTGGCCAAATAACTCGGTTGTAGAGATACTGCCTAGTCCAGAGGATTCTGGTTTGAATCCTAGCTGCTATGGTTTATTGCACTTTCTCCGAGTTACAAATTCAACACTTTTAGCATAAGTGCAAAGCAAATCTGACCTCAGAGAGGAATGTAGCAACCAGACAGCTTTTATCACTTGGTGGCCAAATAACTCGTTTGTTAGAGAAACTGCCTAGAGTCCAGAGGGTTCTGGTTTGAATCCTAGCTGTTTTGGTTTATTGCACTTTCTCCAAGTTACAAATTCAACATTTTTAGCATAAGTGCAAAGGAAATCTGATCTATGGATTAACAATGACTGTTTATCTGTTTGTTTTAAAGGCTGCATTTACATGCAGTTGTTCTATATAATATGACAAAATATGCAAACATTATAAAATCATAATGAGGTATTTTTCAATAAAAATCATCAGGGTTGACCATTATACTCTCACCTTGATGATAGTAGATTGAGTGCATTTACAATATGTATTGACGGTACATGTAGCTTTGTGCTGGACTTGTAAAAATATATTGATCGAGTGACCTTTCTTGATTATCATTTGTTTTACTTATTCTTTAAATTAAAATTTCCAGTAAATAATGAAAAGATACAAGTCCACTTTGGGAGTACTAGAAAACATTGGCCTTGATCTTGCATCAAGTGGATATTACATGTATTAAATTAGTCATGTAATCAGTATTTCAAGACTTGAATGATTAAATTCTTGACATTTAACTTCATATAATTTAAAAGAAGGACACAGTAATATTATAAGAAAGACACAATAACATATTTTAAATACCCATCTGGCATTGATCATGAATTTTTCACTTGGAATAGGTCCAGTACACCTGTTATATCTTTATGGTGACCTGTTACAATGATCCTCCTAATTCTCAGTTATTAAATGAATTGATGTTATCTGTAAACTTCTTTAGAAGTAACATTGACCTTGAAATAAGTAATTGTGGTGGGTGATTTTTAAACATTACATTCTTTTACTTACGTTTCACTATATACCGGTAAAATAAATTCATTGCTGTGTCCATTGCTACAATATTCAAAGGCATTGGTACCGGTGGGGGTGGGGTGGGGTGGCTTTTTTTTTTTTGCAGAGATAGACATAATATAGGCATTGAAAATTGGGACTTAGCCCAACAAACGTTTTTCTGGGGGGGAAAGGGGGGTAGACCCCCACCCCTAGCTGCAATAATGTAGCCCTCTCCAATTTTTTTTAATCTGATATTTTCAACGAAAAAAAAAAAATCGGAGAGGGCTACATTATTGCAGCTACCCACCCCCAACACACACTTTCAATTTACTTCCAATGTCAATGATATTTCATGGATAATATGTTATTTCTAGTTAAGTTTGCAATCCTTTACATTATGGCCACTCTGTTTTTAGAAAATTGATGTTTAAAATAGGTAAACAAAAACATTTTTAGAGATATTCTCTCATTTATTTAAAAAAAATAAAAATACACTCGAAAAACTTTTCAACAGTATATAAATAAACATATGTAAACATTACATCAATAACTTGGAACTTCAAATATAGGTCTCTGATCACATGCACATGTACAAAAAATGTATTGAGGGGACCAATATTTATTCACAACACTTTGTGTATAGAAAGTAGATCATTTACCTACTTTCACTGTTTGTAGAAATAAAGGAACGTGGATTTCAAAAGTACTATTCAACCTAAATTTGTGGAAAAATAATGGGTTAAAATAATGAAACAATAGTATATCATACTGCTTTTTTTTTTTGTTTTCTCATATATCATTTGTTGACATGTGATCTACAGGCACATCAAACAGAAATGGCAAGAAATCGGTGAATAATTAGAAATTTTGAAGTTGTAAGGGTCTGAACTCTGGTGAGAATGGGTCAATCAACAAGAAACTTGAAATTGATCTGGAAGTCATCAATATATTGTAAATGGTACACTAAAAAATCATTTGATCAACTACAAGCACAGCTAATAAAGAAAACAGTGAATAATAAGTTGTTTTTTTTGTAAGGTCTGGCATCCTCGCAATGCCAGGGGTCCTGAGTCAACACGTTGCCGTAGGGCCCCTACTAAGCCAATTTCATCAATATTTCATGGGTTGACTGTAGCGACGTCTTTTGGAAAAATTACAAATCTTAATTGTTTTTCTTATCTCTCAACCAATCATGTTAAGCCGTTCTATGATAAACAACTTGTAACATGTGCGTTTTAGGTGTCATCTGAATTATTTCTGTTTACATTATCTAACTATATAATTTGAAAGCTCTAAAATATCAAATGAAATTGGCCATGGGTCCCTCGGCAACGTGTTGACTCATGACCCCTGGCATTGCAAGGATATAAGTCTGGGTGTAATAACTTTCATGTAAAAAGCCAATATACATGAAACTGAAACTTAATATAGACCTGCAAGTCATCAAAATAAATATCATATCAAAAATCAGCTCATTTTCTACAAGCAGAGCAAAAAATATCCGAAAAAACAATTAAATGGAAAAAAAATAATGTGGATTATAACTTCCATGTAAAAAAAAATTGGAAACTGGGTATTAAAATAACTTTCATGTAAAAAAGTCAAAAACTGAAACTTGCCAAAAATCACTTCATTATCTACATGCACAGCAAAAAAAAAAAAAAAAAAAAAAAAAAAGAAAATGGAAAATAGAAATTAACAAAGTTTATAAGAACAATAACATTCCTCATAATTGGTCAATTGAATTGTAACTTAATCTTGATTTGTTAGCATCAACATAAAGAGACACATATATATCAAAAATCAGCTAATTGTCTATCATCTTCGCTAGCCAAGGGTTTCTGATATGCAACTCTCCTCATAAACCCTTGGCATACGGTGCTGACAAAAGACTTGATTGTTTTTGTCACGTGATCATGATTCTTACCAGGTACGCACAGATTGCGTCATCGACCGAAATAAAAAGCATATTTAAAAAAAACTTGTTTTTAAAAAATAATTAACAAGAAGGTATCGAGTTATGTTAATTTGTTATTTAAACATGTAAAAATGCAAATCTACATCTTCAGTATAGATTCTTAATCACATATTTTGCACGTAGGTTTAGATATTGGATGACACCATATAGCTATTCATAGAATGGCATGTTATCTTACGGATCATTGTTTACTTGCGTTTTACATTACCGATATTAAAGAGTCAAGATATATCCCGAACGCAAATATCGTCATTTACAAAAAACAATTGCTGATTGGTCGAACGATGTCGATCAACTCCAATCACAACTTGAGAAAAAAATCCCAACTTTTTTTAACACCGTATGCCAAGGGCTTATGAGGAGAGTAGCGTATCAGAAACCCTTGGCTAGCGAAGATGATTGTCTATAAGAATCACTGTGAATAATGAGAAATTTTATTGTCTAAGGGCAATAACTTTTGTGAAAAAGGGTAAATCAATCTAAACCTTAAAAGGAACCTTTAAGTCATCACTCATCAATATAAGGAGATAGATGTATACCAAAAATCAGCCCATTATCTACAAGCTTGGCCAAAAATAATTCAGAAAGACTATCAGAAAGGATAACTCTGTATGCCCTGACCATTTCATAGGGCATAAAAATGTATCAATATGCTTATTATACCAGTATTATAATATGAGTTACGGTAAATACAATTATTCCACATACAGAATATAATTTATTTTGTTATACCTTTAAAAATTGGTTCCAATACAAATTTTACATACTTAAGAAAGTCTAACATTTCCAATGTTTTACTGAGCGGTCATAAAAAAAAAAAATGTTGACCACAGCTAGAGTGAGATTTTGGACCTTTCAATGAGATATTGGACCGCTTATGTCACACTGTGGGCAGGATCAGCTAAATATTATTTGCATTGACAAAAACAGAATTGACTGAGTTTAAGTACAGATAAAGGAAATTTACATCATGGAAGCCAGCACAAGATACAAGTATGTCAAAAAAAATAAAAGGTATTACAAAACATTTATTGACTGTGTTCTAGGCCAAAATGCATTTTGTCGACCCCGTGAACCAAACTGTTTGCCTTCAGTCTAACTGCTTCAGGCAAACAGTTTGGTTCTTGGGTCCGACAAAATGCATGTTGCCCTCTAACCAAGTCAATTAATGCAGGGTTGTCCCTAAGTCCCAGGGGCCGGGGAATTTTCCGGTCTATAATGACGGATTCCTCCTGTTATTTTGGTATTCTCTCTCTATCCCCTGTTGAGAGAGAAACCCCGAACCCCCTTCTACTTTTTTAATGTCCCTTGTTATTTCAATTCTTAGGGACAACCCTGAAATGTATTACATCATAAGGCATTTGTTTAGAATGTCAATCAAACTCTGATCCAATGGCAATGCTTATGTTGTCTCCAACATTCAGTGTCGCATGGAACCACAGATTTGTGTCTAAAGCAACTGAAATCATAAGAAAATATATATGAAATTAATGCTGTCAAAAATTATTAGCCATACAACATGAACATGGAATGAATATCTAAGGGTGGGACTTCTTATTATCATTAAAATATGCTGAACAGGAAGGGCAAAAGAAGAAAAAAGAACTTGGGCAAAAACTGCCAAACACATCACTGAGTATATTTTACTTACTTATTTCCCCTGGCTGGACAGTGACTTCAAAAAAAGATTTTTTGCAGATAAAATAACATTCTGGTGGAGGTTCCAATGACCAACGTTTGGTCCCAGTGATTTGGGCCTGCCATGATGGGTTGTTCACATAATCAATCTACAGAGGATAAAATAAGCATATAAAATGTAAATATATGTCATAAATGTATAATTCAACCTATTCACATATTTTCTTTATATTATTTTCTTATTCTGGTGAAGAGGGAGTCTGTTAATTCAAACAGAAATTTCATGTACACTGCAAAACTTTGTCTTCCATAAAGGTGTGTTCCTTATTTCCCAGTCAATGGTCTTGCATTTAGCATAAAGCTTTAATTAGTTATCAAATCCATGTCAAACCCTCAACTGCAACTTACTACATGCCGAGACATGGAAAGTGAAAAACATGGGCAAGTCACCTTCATGATGAGAAAAGCAGAATGAAAACTTTAGCAGGATTTTTTTTTTTAAAACATTTTCAAAAACTGATTTTCAAGGTCAAATGATTTTTATCACTTGTAAATTTGGATGTTTTTTATAAAAACAAATTTGTTACTGAATCAAAGCATGTAAAAAAAAAAAAAGTGGTATAACAGTATATATTCAAGGTCAAAAGTTAAGGTCACAAAAGCAAATTTTGCCAAATGGTTAACCATTTCTGAAAGATGATTGGGATGATGGACTGCTTGTCTTTAGGATATCTTGCACAGTGTCTTAAAACATCACAAACTGACTTGAAAAGGAGGCATGAATTTCAGAGAATTTGTTTGTTTTGACAGACATACGTGCATTGAGGCACCATATCCGGGACTTCCCATGAATATCCAGTCCGTTTTGCTGGATTCTGCTTGCTTTGGCAAAAAGTATGGACGGCTATAGTGTTGTCTGAGAACATTTGCAGCTGATAGGTCACAGTTACTCCTGTAGCAAATATTGAGTGAGAAAGTGAAACTTTAAGCAAATGTGTTAGTAATAGCTGATTTTTCTATGGTATGTGAAGCTGTGAACCGAAGCATTTACTTAATTATTTACATTTAATGCAGTACAGTTTACAAGGGCTCAAATTAAGGATATGCATATTCAATATTGTGCTCTAAATTAAAAGATTTTATAGGTATCTGTCAATTAAAATTCAAACCTAGGCAAACACCACTGATTTTAGTTTATAAAATATTGTATTTCTATGATCATTAAAAAAGTAATGTACATAAAAATATTATATTTATATAAAAAACTGCTAAATGAAAGTAAAATAGTTATTATACACAGAATAGTTATGCATTATCCTGACTTAAGGACCCTGTAGTCTGCTTATAATTTTTCATAAATTCAAGAATTCTTCAATTACTTTGAAATGAAACTATACAATTAAAAATCAAATAATATTCAACTGAAATTAATTACCATCCTATATACCAAGGTGATGACTTATCCTTCATGAATGCTCTTTCATCACTCATTTCAAATACCTCCTCGAACGTTTTAAAATTGGATTTGTACGTGAAAAATTGGCAATACTTCTCTACATTTTTTAATGCAGTACTATTTTTGGTGTAAATGGATTTCATGAACTGGAATGAAAAGTATTCTGAGGCAGTCCAATTTTTAGTTCCATCTTTTATCACCACTGGTCTACCAGTGTAAGCATATAGTTTTTCAAACTCTTCTGGAGTAATATTTTCTACTTTTTCAATGGATTTCACATTTTGACAAAATCTACAACATGGTGGTGGAGGTCGAACCATATCCTGAAAAAATTCAAACTTCTCTACAGCACACCGTTCAGTTTTGGGATCCTCCCCTTTGGCTTCCAGCCATAGTTCGAAAATGGTATCATTTTTAATTGGCCATTCTGATAAATATACAATCACAATAGCTATGAATGAAACAACTAAAGCTACAAAAGATTTCCAAACACAATTTGGGATTTCAAAACTGTCAATGTCTTCCCTCAGTTCCACAACAGCATCAATTTTGGCCAAATCGGAAGGACTGAACCCCTCTTTTACAGCACTATCATACAAATATTGGAAGTGTAAATTAACCCGTTTCCGGAGGGAATCGTCCTCCTTTGAATCTTTCCTCTTCTGTGAACACATATTTTTGTCTCAACTGGCCCATCTGTCCTCTCTCTTCATAATATATTTCTCTTCTTCTATAAAAATTTTGTTTATGATGAGTCAGTTGACAGCTGAGGGAGATAACGAAGGTCATCCCCAAGTAATTTAGTAACTCGTACATAGTTGAGAATAAAAATAAAGGGAATGGTGCTTTCATGGACCCCTTTAATAGGCCTACTGTTTTGTTTTGTTTTTTTGGGTTTTTTTTTATCATTATTGTTTTTTCCCTCTTGTTTTTAGTTTTATATTTTAAATCAATCAATAACTATAGGAAGACTATAATTTTGATTCTTTTTTAAACATATGAATTCTTCTTTTTTTCTAAATATAAGGAATAGCTGCAGAACTGTAGCTCTCCGAAAAAATATAGGCCTATTGACAGACCGATCGTCCATCACAATTTTTTCAGACCAGCGAGCTACAGATCTGCAGCTATATAAAGAATTGAGCTTTAGCAGAGACAGATGCGTATCCAGGATTTTTTTCCCGGGAAGGGGGGGGGGGTGTTCCATTTCAGTCAAAAAATCCAACTCAGAAATTTCCTGAGAAGGAAAAAAACTCTAGATCCGCGCATCATTTTTATCATTATTAAATAAAAACACTAAAAGAAGCGCTTGTCTGCCAGCATTAATACATGTATATAAAACAAATATATACAATGGTGCCGATTCTTGAACTTTCCTCTATTTGCATGTATATTTAAAGATATCACAATAATATGTTATTTTATATTATTTTATTATATAAATTCATTAAAAAAAATTGAGAAACCTTTATCGAAATTAAAACTGATCATTGTGTACCCACTGAAATCAGACCAGAACTGTAGGAAGACTAGTGCATGAAGTTTGAAAGAATTTCACAGAGAAACTTATTTTAAGGAAACAAGTGCAACCTCAGTCATCGAAAATTAATGTGGAGGAGTAGCGGTTCGAAAGAATTTCACAGAAATCTAGTAACCATTGCAACCCCGATCATCGAAAACTTGTGTTGCTCCCCTATTGCCGCATAATGTTGCATCACTCCTACACAGTATTTTTTTAATCAAAAACTGATGCACAGAAATAATTATCTTAGTTTAGTCTACTTGTGTATTTTCTATTGAAATCGGACCAGAACTGTAGGAAGAGTAGCGTTTTGAAAGAATTTCACTGAAAGGAGATGGGCGAACAAGGCGTGCAAAATGCCTATAGTTTCAAATGTATAAAGTCATATTCAGTTTGTGAATACTGCTCATAACAATTAAATATCGACATATATCTACATATTCAAATGTCTTTGTCCGAGATATAATTACAAATAAGGCAATAGCTTTATATCCTCATAAAGCGATTTGCTCATCATGTGGCAGAACTACATACTTTCTTGCTGTGTGTTGCTTAGTAATACACCGGGTTGAATTATTTTTCATTGAATAAAGGATCAAGTAAAAAATTAAATATAAGAACAACTTTTTTTCTGATGATGATCAATCAGTTTGTTTGCGTGCACAATTCTTCGGCATTTACACAAATTATCACGCGAGAAAACTAAATGGTCACATCATAATACCAAATTCCTTTATTAATTAATCAAAACATGTTTGTGATATATGACCCTTGACTAAATGAACTTCAAATATTTTTTTTGGAAAGATACGATTGCTGTGTCATAAAAATTTTTTTAAGGTCAGGCGCGTAGCCCAAATGGAGCTGAAGTGTACGCAGGGAACGGCAGAGGGACTTGGGGCCGCCCAGAGGCTCCCAGTAGTCCAGGGTGAAACCCTGATGGGGGCCCAGGGGGCGAAGCCCCCGGAAGCTAGCTCCAGGGGTTTTCCAAATATTTCAATCACTTTCTTGCGGGAAATATGCTGTATCGCTTTTCTTTAGAAATAAAAACCTTAGTAATATTGTTTTTAACACAAAGTTTATCTTCCACGAAAATTTATTATACGAGTACCTGAGGCTGGATATTTTACCGATATATTGGTATCATCTGCACTTTTTGTAGTATAATGTTCAGAAACAAGTATAATAAATGTTAGTTAAAAACTATTGTATTTTAAATTGTATACTATTTGATTAATTCAACGATATGATTGAAATTTAATTTCTCAAATATTTTAAAAATTGTCAATATGTTATAGAAAACTTACAAACTAATAGATAATTTATTTGGATTTGGTAATAATTTGATAATAGATTTCACATTTGATTGTATAGATATGCTATCGCAAAATCTTATTCGAAATAATAATGTGTCCAAAAAAACAAAAAAAAAATGAAACGAAAATATTTGCTGGATGATATTGCAATATCTCTCTCTTTCTCTCTCTCTCTCTCTTGCTCACTCTCGTGTATAGATTTTTTTGTTTTTTTTGTTTTTTTTGGTTAAAATGATGTGTACGCAGTTGCGTACTTGCGTATAGGCACGCGCCTGAAGGTATTTTTAAGGTATAGTGGAGGGCTGCATGGTTTTATTAACAGAACAATGTCTATTTTTACGTATATACTTTGAGAATAATCTTTCAAAAAATGGAACAAACACCCACATATGGGAAAATTATGTTTTAGTATGAGGAAATTGATCATTTTTACCCTCTTTGTGTATGTATGCTATTTTCATAAACGAATAATTTCAATCTTGTGTAAGATTGTTGCGATTTGTGAAGATTTTACATAAAGTATACGTTAATGTTTAATGAAACATCAAAGAAAATTTTGTCATAATTGAGATTTAATTTTCACTTTCTTATTTATCGCACAATCGACATTTGGCTCTACTTGTTTGCCGGTCTTCTTTTCGTTTATAAAAACCTTGGCATAATTTTTTCACCAAAAAGAAAAAAAAATATACAGGGCCTAAAATTTATGAGTGACATTTCGTAAAATTGATTTCAGACAGGCGGTGGACATACTAATCGCATAAGCTCTTGATCCAGCCAGCAGAGCTAAAAACCAGACGGATAATTCTATAAACGTCCTTGCTTTGTCAGGTTTTTCAAGTAATAACAAAAAGAACAACAGTATTCTAACATTTGTTTTTACATCCTTCTAGCTAAACTCAAGAATTAAATAATTAATCTTTGTGGTCAAATTATTGATAGCAAATACAATGTATGCTCACCCCCTAAAGGCTTCTATTTTACAATTTCCACTAAATTTTGTCCACGTACTAGTATTTATTTAACAGCATCAGCTTGTAGATTTATCTTTGCAAGTCTTCTTCAAATTCAGACAGGATCAGCATGATTACTACATAAAGGATGAAAATCCGAACGCAAAATTTCAATTTTTTTTTCGCCCAATATATATAGTACGTAAAATATTGATATCAAATTATTTTGAGATTATGATCACTATTTTTACACTCTGCATACATGCAAGACTATGTATAGTCTGTGATACTTTGTGTTACACTGAGGAAGAGGGTGCGCAAAACGTAACCCCCATTGAGTAATTGACACGCATATACGCCCACAAATAATTGTTTCAAAGGAAAATTGTAAACATTGACTGTAATGATATATTTCTTAAACAGGAAGTGACATCTTTGCAACCCAAGGGCTATCTTTGTGAAATGATGAAACGTCTGTTAAGATGTTTGCTGTTACTAAGTACACCTACATGTACAAAATACACCGAATTTCATGTTCGCACAAAATCGATTGCTCAAAATGCGATGCAGTTCAGAGAATTTCACACATTTAAAATTTGTTAATGTATTTTATTCATTTAAAAAAAAAAATCAAACACCTTTAATCGTATTCCGATCCAATAGTGATACTGATATCATCTCCCACGTTCAGAGTTGAATGGTACCAACGGTTTGTATCCAAGACAACTGAAAAAAAAGTTTTAAAAAAGTAAAGTAATATATTCAAATTATTTTCACAACAATGTTCAGTTTCTGTGGTATAAACTCTCTCTCTCTCTCCCTCCCTCTCTCTCTCTCATAAAGAAAAGGCAATAAGTTTCTGGATCTTTAATTAGCTGCATCGGTGGACCAAAAGAAATTGCAGATCAATCACACACAGAAAGCCATCTGATGCATTAAATCAGAAACGCTTTCCTATTTCGGCATTATTTAATGTTCACGATAAAGTTTTATTAATAATTTCATTTTATGGACTCCTCCGAATACCCTTATAATTTGAGCACATCCTTACGGCCCAGAGAAGGTAATTAGTTTACGGCATTGGGTTCCCTCCAAGGTGAGCTCTGATAAATGGCGAAACTTTTTTTTCAGTTATTTATTTATTTTTTTTTGACATCATTAATAATTAAATGTCTGACTGTCATAGTTTATGTGACCAATATACCGGAATAGCTTTGCTATGGCCTTCGTTTGTTTGTTTATTTGTTGTTTAATGTCCCTCTCGAGAATTTTCCACTCATATAGAGACGTCACCACTTGCTGGTGGAGGGCTGCAAATTTGTACTTATACTCGGCACCGAGGGCCATTGAGCAATGGGGTATCTTTTTCGTGCCCTACACCTACTGCGACTTGGGACTTTGGTCTCATCCGAAGGACCGGTCTCCACGTCCCGCAGTGGAATCGAACCCGCGACGTAAGGATCAACTCCTTACTCCGCAACTCTAGACCAGACGCTCTAACCACTGCGCCACGCATTCGTAAAATAATTTGTATGAAATGATGACGGACAAGGAACATACATATTGATTAAACAATGTAACAACGACACATTTACATACAGTCAAACTATTCTTTCATGTACTTTCTAAATTTAATCATATCAAAAGACATGGTCACACGTATACTCACTTATTTCCCCGGGGTGAATGACGACTTGAATACTTTTAGGACACTGAAAATAACATTCTGGGGGAGGTTCCAGAGTCCAGCGTTTGGTACCAGTTATCTGCGCCTGCCAAGAGGGATGCTCTACTGCATCTATCTACAGAGTGTGAAAAGTTTGTTAGAATTAAGGATTTCATTTCCTAAAGATATTAAACAAAATGCCTTTAAAATCTTTGGAAAGGAAAAGAAACAAAAGTCAATTTTGACCCCCTATACTAATAGTAATTAATTCCATAGTCATTAATTAGTTCTACAAACA